AATATTTTAGATAAATTTTCATAATCTGTAAGTAGTAAGAAAATTACACATCTTTCTTTATTACGTTTATACTCATCTGCTGTGGTATAATGAACAAAAATTTATAGATGATTTTATAATAACAATAAAATGACGAAAAAACTTGCGATATTAAATAAAACCGTTAATATAATCGCATAAAAATACTAAAATTTGTTTCTTTTTTATATACTAGCAATTATCCCTCATCTAAATATAAAGAGAATAACAATTGTATAAATTGCTCTAAGAAAAATCATGTTTGTATTTTATATATAACAATATCAATAGAATTTACTAAACTTTCTAAAAAACGAAAATTGAAATCTTTTTCTCTTTCTTTATATATTACTTTATATATTATTTTTTTATTACATTCTAAAAATTTATATTTTAAATTTATTTTTCTTGAATTATTATGTAATTAAATATATAACGCAAGAATATCTAAAAAAGATTTATTTACATATTGTACATTTCTTATAATATAACAGAACCACAAGCAACAGTGAGTTTTATATATATGTATATATATGTACGCAATTTTTATATTTTAACATAATGGAAAGTTTTTGCAGTGCTGCATTTTTCAAGTATGATAAACGCTAAAATTGCCCGTTCGTTGTAAAGGTGAGTTGCCATGGCAAGTGACATCTTTTTATATTTTAGATTCATGTTATCATTGAATGCATGGGCGACTTACATTTAAACGATCTTACTGTCTCTCTCTATCACACTATAAAAAAATCTTTAAGAACAAAATGACCAACATTGAGGTACTGCAAAGAAATATATTTTACATGAGTCAAATAAATATATATATTTTTCTCTTATTGAACTTTAAAGATTATATTGCATATATATACATATCATTAGAAATTTGAAATATATTAAAGATGCAAAACTTCTCATGTTTGGAGTGAAGTGAAAACGGGATATTGCAGCATGTATTATAAATTATGTATTATAAATTTCTCTCTCTTTCTCTCTCTCTCTCTCTCTCTCTCTCTCTCTCTCTTTCTCTCTCTCTCTCTCTCCTCTGTTATATGTAACATATTTAATATTTTATACTTACATTTTAGCATTTTACAGAATTGAAGCCATGTGAACACCTATAAGTAAGTCTTCTCTGATAGAGTTCTAATAGCTAAACACAATAATAATTTAGATAGATATTTTTTTAATACAAACATCAGTTATAACATAGTACATTTACAATACTATTTTTTAATTAGTTGCTTTATACTAGCTACACATTACATATTTTGATCTAAATAATAATTTAACTCATCTCAATATGTGCTCTAATTACAGCTATCAAATTCATTACAGTCTCTTAATGAAATATCTTAGAGTAACCATACCAATAATTATATCTTAACTTATTCATAAAATTATACTCTATATCATTAACAAAAAAATATAACAGTATCCATACATTTCATAAACATATAATCTAAAGATTCATTGTTCTTTTTATTATTTATTATAGGTTGCTAGTGCGATTATTTACTTCATCTTGGAAGAGAAATCTCTCGCTTCATTGAACCTATATTTAAAAGCTATCAATATCTAAAGTGACTAGAAATGTTGCTATATTTTCTCTTTTTTAACATACACATACTTCTTTTGGCAAGATTTCTCTGTGATATAAATGTACGAAATAGTGAACAATTTCTGGAAATACTATTTCTAGCATTATAATACTTGCTTGACGTTTACATAATGATCTGTACAATTTCAATTTAAGCAGCTTCATTTATCCTATATATTTACAAAACAATTCATTGCATATGCTATGTACATAAAAGTAAATAGCTTTATAATTTAAATATGCTCAGATGGCACTAAAATCTTATATTGCAACTTTAAAACATTTATGCCATCAACATATAACATTGCACTGAACGGTATCAGGTGCTGGATGATACTCCTGATAGAATTAATAACGAATGTACTAAAGTACATTGCAACTGGCATATTAATTAGCTTTATACAAAGCTCCATGATATTCTAAAATACTAATAGATAATGAATCCTTTATAATATATGGAAATTTAAATGCCATAAGTTTCAAAGTTAATATAGGGGCAGTTTTAGAGCATATATACAAGATGTCCCTTTTAATTTATAAAATAAAACATTCCTTATATAAGACATAACGAAAAAGTCATTATTATGAATTCGATTTATTTTATGCGTTTTATAGTGTTATCAGGAGAGAGAGAATAATACATGTATATGTAGTTTTGTTTTAAGTTAATAGATATAAAGCCTCTACTCTTAAGCTATTAAAAAGAGAACTAACTCAGATATTCAACACAAAATTAACAAAAAATAGTAATTGTCACATCTTCTCTCATTTTAGATATTATACTGTGCACGTCAAAATAGAACATCTGGTATATATCTTAAACATACTATACTAATAAATAAATTTTAAATAGCAAAATTTGAGAAAAACATTTAGGTGCCTTGAGTGTAGCGTGAACATGATAGTTATATTTTGGAATGTATTTCAGGCCCCTTCAATTATCTAAATTACTTTTCCAATTTATAGACAATATAAGAGAAAATATACTTAACGATGGTAACATTTACTTTCCTGTCATCATGCATTATATCCGTACATCTTATTATATACGGTTATATAATAAGTGAAGCATTCATATTATAAGGCCTCACTTATTATATCTTCGTTACTATGTTCCAAAGATTCACATCCAAATAGTACGTATTCTTCTCGTGACAGCCAAAATGGATTACCTTCAATATATTCTGGTGGAGTTTTATCTAAAACAAATTTAAATTTTAAGATTTTTATACACTATAATTTACTGATATTTTCAAATGTTATTTTCTATTTTATTATACTTACGCATCTTTTAATGTATTTAAATTATAAATCTATTTTTTATTTTCATACTATTATACTGTTTTACTTATTGCATAATTCATTGCTCTATATTTAATCATATCAGTACATAAGTATACAAAAATTATCGATGCTTACCAGGATGCACAGCTAAAGGCACATATGTAGATCCCATTGCGACATTCCAACTGTGTGTACCAGGACAGCTTTTTACTTCCAAAATTTTGCTATACTCCGGCAATAGCTCACATAGATCTTTGGTAAGTCTCAGTTCGAAACCCGAAAGATCTGTATTTCCACCAGTAAGTAAAATATGTGAAAGACAATCATGCATTATATCTTCCGGTAATCCTGATGTTACATCCTTTATAACTTCGGGCAAACGTAGACTGATATACATCATTTCAGGGGCTATGTATAATTCTGGCCCTAATGAGACTCTCTAAAAAACAATAATATTTTTGTATAATATCTCTATAAATCTAAGTATGAAAATTTATTTTTTCAGCTGTAATATATACATACCCAAAATTGCTTATAGT